GCCACACATATGACTCTGATTGAATGAGTCACACATCACATCCCAAAGACATGAATATGGAAAAGTGATGGGAAGAGAGGGTGTTATGTAGTTCCTGACCTCTGGGAAAGTTCATTGACAATCCAGTTATAATTAAGGTTACTGATTACTGCTAGCAGAACAATGATCTCGGAGCCAACCTAGAGATTGCCATGAAAAAGAGGATAAGGGGAGGATTTTAAGGGAAAAAACCAAAGGTAGAATGAACATTGGTTTCTGCACAAGCTAGCCAGAGCCATTTTGCTCTGCCAAAATTAAATAATCAAAGCAACTTCAAAATGGCCCTTGACTATCTACATAAGCAGGTAACAGAAGCCAAAAAGAAGTTAGCAATATCATAAGACATAGATGGCCACACTATACATTTCTGGGTTGGAGGTCACTGAGTCAGGCCTACTGGGAAATTATCTTGCAGGGAGGGACTGGAGTCAGAGACAAACAGCTAGGGAGTACCAAGATGGATGCCTAGCACAAAATAGAGCAGTTTCTTTAGTCATTGCAAAGGGGTGGATTTTTAAGGAAGTGGAAGGTATATAAAAATTGATGTGGAGGGAGCATAGGCAAAATGCATTATATACAAGTTGAAGATTTTAAGATTTTGAATGAAAATTTGACAGAGAACATTAGCTTTTAAAGATAAAAATACAGCACAGCTACAAAAGGATTATCTAAGTCATACAATCGATGCCAGCATGTCATTCTTGTGCTGGCATTGAAAACACTGTGTAGCCCAGGGAGGCCTAAAATGAGTGTTTCACCTGCTTCTATATTCTGCTTATCAGGGACTGCCTACGTTCTTACCTTATAACTTCTTCCTGTATCATTTCTAACCCTATTCCTTTTTTGTTTTGATTTGTTTTGTAGTTCGGAGGGCACTGTTTTTCCCATCTTTATTGACATGCATAAATTGTACTCAATTCTAAGTTTCACTGCACTGATGACATTTAACCTTCTGGTCCTTCTCTTGTACCATCTTCCTCCTCTTGCTGGTCCCCCCACCACCTTCTTTTCCCAAGTA